TCATTTAAATGTAAATTGTTGTTAAGCCGGTGCAGGTCTGAAATTACGGCATTGCGTAGAAGGTAGGGGAGACCAGAAGGGATTAGGAACGCAGATCTTCAACAATTTATATGCAAAGCTATTTAGTTTCTACATGACAGGTGTTCACAAGGAATTCTAAAAGTCCAAAAGCGTACTCGTTTGATTGTTGTGTCTTTTATTATTGGCATCAAAATGTTGCATGTTTAGACGTTTTTACTTCCAGAGTAAAAGGGTCCATCGGGCAATTGTTACTTTTGTTATAATATTTTTGATTAGGATATTTTTGGAAGAGTTCGTTAAAACCGTTGAAAGCGATGAAATCATTACAAACGAACTTTTCTACAATTAGTGCATAATTATGACCAGAGCGAATTGGGAAACAACGGTTCTACAACGGATTTAACAATATCGGTTACGATTTAGTTTAAATGAGATTGGTTGTAGGATCAACTGTCGAATGAATATTTTGAATATGATTGGGACTTTGTATGATTGAGAGGGAGAATGCGAGTCTTTATAATTCTAAGTTAGTTTAAGAAAAGTCAGTAACTTCGATAGTTAAGAGTCATGAGAGGTGACTAGTTCTACAGAAGTGCTCAGTGGAGCAAGTTAATGTAAAAGTGAGTACTTCGAGAATTAAGAGTCATGAGAGGTGACTAGTTTGCAGAAGTGCTCAGGAGAGCAAGTTAATGTAAAAGTGAGTACTTCGAGAGTAAAGAGTCATGAGAGGTGACTAGTTTGCAGAAGTACTCAATAGAGCAAGTTAATGTACCTACGATATAGTGAAATAAAGAGAACATAATTCAGAGCAATTAGTGTTATTTCGAAAAGCTCTAGTTATCTCATGAGGAGATAATTGGACACAAGAAAAGTTAGAGTTGGTGATTTTAGTGTTTTGTTATAGCAATTTCTCAAAAAGCGGGAAATTGTTATATCACTTTTATATTTTCTCGACGTTTCATGACCCCTAGAATGTGAAAACAGTTCTCTCGTTTGCGTCTGTTTGTCCCCTGCCGTATTAGACATCTTTATTTTTTCCCTAAACATCCAGAATTTTGAAACAAAAACGATTATCTTTTGGTAGTGCAGTTTGTAATATGAAAAAAAAATCTGATAGAAAAAATGTGTTCTTGTCTCCCCTAGGCGCTCCAATCGCCGCAAGAAGATCTCGACTATCGCATTATAAATGACTGCAGTAAAACAGAGACAACAACATCCCGTTCCTTCATAGCCAAACTTCTTTTTTTAGCTTTTAATGGGCTATTTATTATTATAATTTATTTGATCAACGTTACGCCCACTTGCGTATCTCAAATTTTGTTTAATTAAGCTACATCATCCTAAAAAACAGTAAGTTGTTAGAGCAATTCTTCTTTAACCGTCCTTGTTACTGTTCAAGCGCCCATTATCCACTTATGCAAAAAGCGCTCCGATTATTCTGCTACCTGAAGACGAAATAAAATTTATTAGAAACACTTGGCGTTCTTTTAAAAACTGATGCATCATTTTCCACCTTTTTGTCTATTTCACGGAGAATGACCCCATTAACAACGAGAAATGAATCACGGACCCAATCCTTATGTAAAGCAGGTTTTTATGCTTCCTTTTGGAAGAATGCTAAATAGAGCCATTATTATTCAAAAACCGTCTCCATTTAGAATGTGTAAAATATTGGCGAATGCTAATTCGCGATTTACGTAACGATTTTTTAAAGAAATGTATCAGTTTCGGATTAATTAATACGTGTCAGGAACCGAAGTGCTGATTTTTCTGCGTTTACAGGAAGGTGTGGCAACGTCATTTGTTATTGTTACGTGTGTTGGAATTATTATTATTAATGGTAATGACAACGTTTAGAAAGATCATTAAACATTATTAAACACTTATCGAGGCAGAATGAGTCATTATTTTCTTATCTTTTTTGTATGAATGTTTTGATAGTTTGTTGAGAGGTTGAAGGATTCGCGTTTAATTGAACGTAGGCCGGTTATGTCAACGCACATTGATGACCGAAATAATGAAAAAATTGCTTCCGTACGGCCCTGAAACGCATGCGTTTGGGAGGATAAACGTGGACATAAATCGACCATTTCGATAAAGGGGTAGCAGGCTATAATTATTGAGCGCTAAAAAGTGAATGACGTCATATTATTGAATAAAATTATATTACACAAATTAAATTGAAACTTTTTTTAAAGTGTACATTTTGTGAAGGATAATTGCGTGAAGGATAATACTTGTCCTGGAAAACACACTGTTTCATATCGTCCTGTACAGAGCAGAGTGGCGCAGTGGAAGCGTGCTGGGCCCATAACCCAGAGGTCCGTGGATCGAAACCACGCTCTGCTAGAAGCTTTTTTTTTGGTTTTTGTTTCACAAAATGTGAAATATCGCAACTGAATTTAAAAATAAAATTTTCCAATGCATATCATTACTTGGTCTTAGTACCCGTAATGATAGAAGTCTTGCCTGAATGCCGGTCATTTCCGGGTCAGTGGTGGGTCTTAATATAATAATAATAATCTAATCAATGCATATCATTACTTGGTCTTAGTACCCGTAATGATAGAAGTCTTGCCTGAATGCCGGTCATTTCCGGGTCAGTGGTGGGTCTTAATAATAGTAATAAAATGTTAAAACATTTAAAGTTACTTTATCAAATCACAAATAAGATCAGACTAATTTTAGTTAACGTTCTGCTATCTACGATACATCTAAAATTTCCACGGTATCTACATGTAAAATATCAAAATAGTGGAGTAGTTTCGGAGATTATTTCACCGACAAAAGAAAATATATTTTTCTTTTCTGTCCTTGAGAAATACAGAGATTATTAAAAAATAAAAAAAAATAAAAATAAAAAGTTATAATAGGATTTTCTGAGTAGAGACCGAATATCTTTCAAGATTCGCCAGGATAATGGTGTCTTAAAAGAACAGATAAAACGTTTATTCGAAAATAAAAACAAAACGAGTTATAATGAGTTGTAAAAACAAATAATAAAAAATATCCTTCGAACTTCGCCAGGATAATGGTGGCCTGGAACACTCAACAACAAGCAGAGTGGCGCAGTGGAAGCGTGCTGGGCCCATAACCCAGAGGTCCGTGGATCGAAACCACGCTCTGCTAGCACCTATTTTTTGCCAAAAATAAAAATGATCTCAAACCAAAACTATCTACATCTAGTTTCCCACGCTTGATAAGCTTCGACACTTCGACATTATCTTATCAAAAAATAGTTGTGAATAACTCATTCTTTACCTTCGTGAAATATTGCACAATTTGTAGCAACGCTATTAATCTTCAATGTTTATCATTTCTGTGATTTATGCCATTCCCGTTCCGCAATTTTCGAATTTTTCAATAAATTAACCTTTTGTGGTGACGTCCCAGTTCTACAGACCGCCACGAAAAATGCGTACTGAATTTATATGTGTTATTATTTATTACAGTTCTCGTTTCTTGTTTCACAACAAAAATTTACATATACCTCAGAAGGCTTAGATCATCGCGCAAGGTGGGGCTTCTAAATGTTATATCAGATAATAAAAATAGGACAATGTTAGCAACTGCCGCTGGGAAACGATTCGCTCAGTCTGGGTGGTATTTCGTTGACAACCTTCATTTTTATAGTTCTTCTCTAGTTTCGCAATGTGGTAATGTCACGTTTAATTGTCTTTGTTGTTTTTCTTGAGAAAAGCATCATGAATTAGAGGTAGGTTTAGGATTCAAAGTTGTTTCAGAGTGATGTAAATCCTGTAGAAACCACCCTTGTTTTACGTATGAATAAGTTATAGAATAAGGGTTAGGGACCGTGGGTTAGGGCTAGTAAAGACGCGGAGCGTTGGGTATTGTGTTAGACGGACAAACCATAAAATATTTATAAAACTCTTGTTGGAGCGTATTTTTTTGCAATGTAGATATAAGAAAGCCGTAAAATCAATAGTTCAGGTTTTCATTTTTTTTCTGAAATGAATAAAGACTGTCTTTCTTAAGATTATAAACTTTGCGGTTTGAAAGAACCTCGGGGCTTCCTTGTGTTTTGTCTATGAAAAAAAATTGGAAAGATCTTGCGGATTCTTACTTATGTTTACTTTTTGATAAAATTTCATAAATCCTTGGAGACTTTTAAATAGTCTCTTTTTTATATTAACTTATAAGTGCCATAACAAAAATAAAATTCACACAATCAAATTTTGAAATTGAATTTGTTTTATTGCTTATGGTGCAGGAGCAAGGGAAGTTCTGTTTACATAATTTTAAATCAATTTCTGTGACTAAAAGCACCACCGAAGCTTAACACTAGTGACAAATTTATTAAACATTTATTATTTGACTCGTTGGATAGAGAACCAGCAATACACCAAAAGGTGTATTAATAGTTTAAATTAAATTCCATTAATTTAAAGTTAATAAATCTGACACTAATTCCATGTGATTAACATATCTCGTCGTTTCAAGGTTTTCCAATTAATTATTTAATTTTATTAATTTGTTCGAGTTCGGGCTTCTGCGTTCACGTTATTTGCCACTTAAACGTCCTAAAATTCTAATAAATATTTATCAAAATTAGCAGTAATATAAAATGTTATTGATAACTAGATCAAAGACTGCCGCCTCTTAATTAGGAGCCTAATCAGCTACATGTTTTCTTTCTTGGAATCATTATGTCTGTTACATTTATCAATTAAAATTGCTTAAATTGTTTAAATGTGTGCGTTATTTGAAGATAAAGACTAATGATGTTGTAAATTAGTAACTAGTTGTAACATCTGAAACCTATTTATAACACTACCTGAAATTTCTGGAAAGGTCATTTTTCAAATATTTACATTAGTTAAATTTCAAGTACAAATTTTGAATAGTATTCGCGTTTTTTTAATTTATAAAGTTCATGTTCGTGAGAAATGACAGTTCATGTTGTACAGTTACAAAAAAAATAAGTAGCAAGAAGAAACAAAGAACATAAAAACGGCGTTTATTCGCAAAATCAATACCCCATATAAAATTTCTACACGTACTAAAATTTTTCTCAATAAAAATCACTTATGTTTCTCCCTGAAAAGTAGGTAGTGTGAAACTGGAAGCTTCGCTTGATCTTTGAGCAACGAATTACTCTCTTGTTCCTTTATAATCTTCTGCAACCTATCAATTTCCGCAGTGTGTTCCTGTTTCAACGCTTCCATCTCCTCATGCTGATCCTGAATCCTCTTTTCAACAGTAGACAACTCCTGCCAAGCGTCCCTCTGAACATCCTAAGAAAAAAATAGAAACAAAACAACCCCCAATCAACAACAATACCTTCAACTGATTCCTCAACGTGTCCATCCTTGTCGCTATATCACACCCGATTTTCTTCACGGCTTTGTTCTCCTGCTGCCTCTGGTTCAACGCCTTCAGAAGAGTTTCTTGCTCTGCGACTAAATCTTTGGCAAAGTTCATAGCTTTGTTTAATTGTTTGCGGCAGGCGCTTTTGGCGAATTGTACTTCGTTTAAGGTGTGGTCGAGCTCTAAGTATTTGGCCTCCCCTTTTCTAAAATAACAAACAAACAAAAAATCACGCTATAGTACTATAATAACTAACTTGATTTGCTTTTCTAAGTGTTTGATCGTATTATCTAATTCCTCTTTTTCTTTGGTGTGTTGCGCGATTTTCTTTTCCAAATCGTCAATTGCTTTGGCTTGACTTTCTATGTTTTCTTTCAGTTTTAGTTTCTCTTGATCGTACTGCAATTTCAACTCTTCGTACCACCTAGAATGTGTCAAGATCACAAGACGAATTGAAATTTAATTTCACGGACTTTTTGCACTCGTTCACGCTGGCCGTGTGAACTGACACCGGAATGTAAGCCTGGCGTTCACTTTTAAACTCCTCGTGAACATCCTCCAGCGATTTGTTCTTTTCTTTCAAAATTGTTACTTCGGTTCTGCTTTTACAGTACTGTTCGTGCATAACAGAGTAATCTCTCTTCAATTGTTCAACTACAAAACCGCGTCAAAATTAAAAACCCTCCTAAACCACCCTACCTTTGTATTCGTAACACTTCAAAACCTCTTCTAGCTTGTCTTGCTTTAAAGCACACTTCTTGATCAAAACGTCGTTCTGCTCTTTCAAAGTTTTCAGTTCCTGTTTCAAATTCTTCACTTCTTCTTTCAACTTGGAACTACAGTCGACGTCTTCTGTCAAATTTTTGTGAAGAAATTCGTTCTCTTTTAGCACCTGTTTCAACTTTCCGGTAAAATCACCAATTTCTCGTTCATAGTTTTCGATAATTTCGTCTTTTTCATTGATAGTGTCTTGGTAAGCGTCCAGAAGTGGCCCCAGAGTGTGGTTATTAACCTTCCCCCACGAAATGGGTGTGTGCGAATGGTCCCTATGTAACTCAAAAATCCCAGGGTCGTGCCCATCGACCACCGGAATATTCTCCAAGCTTTGTTGTTGGGGTGTGACGACCCTGAGGTTCAGCGTTCGAAGCTTCTCCTGGTAGCGTTCCATTTGGACGTTCAAACGGTAAACTACGGTTTTCAGCATGTTCACGTCTTCCTCTAGATCTTTCTTAGTGTTTTGAAGAACAGAATTATCTTCGGTGAGTTTCTGGATCGTGCGTTTAAAATCTTCGCAACTCCGGCAGTGTTTGGTGATTTCTAACTGGACTTTGAGGTCTTCAAGAGTGCTTAGAAGCTCCTGCGAATGTTCTTTTAAGTAGCTATTCTCTTTGGAGACCTCCTCGTTCAGACTTTGCAGCGACGAAATTTTCTCTTTGAGTTTGAGGATCTTTCTCACGCTGAGCTCCTCGAGCTCGTTGAATTTGATGATGACGTCTTCGTTCTCCTTAGCAAGTCTCGCATTTTCCTTGCTGAGGTGCCGCCTGCTGATCTTTTGTAAATCGTTCTCCTGTGGCGATTTCTCCTCCCTGTGTTTGTACCTTCTAGAGTGAAAGTTGGCACTGTATGTCTTCTTCGTATCAATTTTGACATCGTCTCCCGCGTTGTGTATAGGAACTTCTAATTTTTTTCGGCGCGGTTTCTGAGCTACGTCCGACATTCTAACCAATCAGAAATTTCGTTCTTCCTTCTTTAAAAAGAAACAGAAGGATGGTGTCTCTACGTACATCTACAATGAGTCATACTTCGAAAATCGATTTGTTCAATGGAGGTATAAATATTTGACTTACATTTTATTGTGTTTACGGAGTATCGACTTAACAATGGTGTGGAGATCAATAAATAACACCTTTGAGGCACTGAATGCGTGAATGAGTGACACGTTAGCGGACATTTGTAAACAAACTATCAACACGTCGTTAGTGGTGGTTGCCATGGTAACGGCGTGGAAATTGGCGCTTATCTCTTATAGGGAGTAAGGGAACTGTTTGAAGTCTGAACGCGAAGGGATAGATGGCGGTAGTGGTATTTTTTTTACATGGCCAACTTCTATGTTAAAAAAATTTTTGTTTTAGAGATTTTAGACGTAGTCAAGAGAAGGTAAAATACGTCCAGCTAGATAGTCACCAGTGTCTTTTTCTTACTGTATATCTTAGGTCTAACGTTTTTCCGGAGCTTAGATTTCTTTATGTTTTTTGACCTGCTCTTTTCAGAATTATTAAAAAAAAAGATATATTTTTTTATTTGTAATATGAGATGTATTATTATGTTTGACCATACAATTTTTGCAGTTTCACTAATAATTTTCTTTTTAAATGAGTTACCGATGATTCGATGAGCCAGCATCTTCACTAGAAGACTTCATTAATTTAAATATAAATTTCCATTCGGGATACAAGATTATTCTTCAGAAAAAGTATATTCGTTTGTCTGGGAATGAAAATTTTGTAATAGAGCAGTTAGTTAATAATACAATATTTTACCTGTAAAATTTCTCTTTCGGCTGGTTTGATTACTTATATGTAACGAGCGTTCAAATAAAATCGACGTCAAGCTGGCTTTGTAAATGTAAATTTAGGGCTTAATGAATGATCCGTTCACATTACCAAAGCCAACTTGACGTCGTTTTTATTTGAACGGTCGTTATTTTCTTGGTTAATTTTTTAGTATTTATTTATTTACTTAATGGATGGTTTGCTAAATGAAAAGTCACTGTCGTATAGCCTATTCTTTTTTGAAACATTAAACCCCCGTCCGTTTGACCATTTGACTATATATTTTATAAACTAGGTACGTTAAAAAATAAAGCTGAATTTTGAAAAATAATCGATATGTTTAGAAACATGGAAATTGTTCTTTTTTTTTTTTTAATACTCGCTTATGGGAGTAAAGATGCACTCAATACGTAGGTAACCAACAATACATTTGCGAGTAAAACCATCTTCGATTTATTCACAGTTAAATTCCACTTCTTCATGTCAACAAAATTTAAGACTATTTAATTTATTTATATTAACTTTAACTTAGATGCCCTAAATTTCTCATAAATATTTATAAACATTAGAAATAATATAAGCTATTAGATCAAGAAAACCGCTTTTTAATGGAGATTTAATCACTTTTTGTTGTAGGAATTATTGTTATTTCTACAAGTGAAATTAACTTGTTTAAATTTGTGTATTATTTCAAGATAAAAATCAATAGTGTGCAACAGTGTCCACGACACTAGTACATGACCTGGTTTGAGTGGAGCGGTCGAACCGTACATCGAAGGCGCCGTGGCTTAGTTGGTTAAAGCGCCTGTCTAGTAAACAGGAGATCGGGGGTTCGAATCCCCCCGGGGCCTCGAAACACTTTTTTTTTATAGTGGTTTCATGTGTTTGCCAAAAAAGTACAACAAAAGTGCGTCTAGTCAATTTAGTGTTGAACTGGAGTTCAAGCATTTCTTTTAATATTTCAAATGGAATACATCTAACTTCCGACGTATTTTTTCATAACTTAAAAAGCTGGTGCCCGAGTCCAAAGTCGGTTACTGCGATCAGTAGCACTCTTAGATCATTTAAAGTATATAATATATAATATTATATGATCTAAGGTGGTATAAATACAAACCGTAATTTCGCCCACTGTTAAAATTTAAAAACGATGTAGTTGATTTGTTTTTAAAATTCACCTAGAAAAATATCATTGGTAAACACAAGTAAGAATTTGCCATTAAAACACCTGTTATCATTGTCGACAAGAACGTGGGGCACTTAAACTTAAATTGGCTACCTTTTTATATGCACTAAAGGTGTTTGCTATATTATATTTTTCAGGCGTGAACTTGTCTTAACTATAATAGTTAAGACAAGTTCACGCCTGAAAAATTCAAAACGCAACTACCAGTACAATTTTAGCTGACCCGGCAAACGCTGTTTTGCCATATAAATTATTTCTAGTGAATATTTTGGTAGTTAAATAAAAAATTAAATTAAAGTAAAGTAAATAAATTATAATTAAATTAAATTATAAATTATACATAAAAATTTATCCTACGACAATGATTATATTCAACAGCCATCTTGCAACCCTATTGCGGATCTGTGGATGAAACTAAAGATACCTACTAGTATCGTTATTAAAAAATGGGGGTTCGTGGTAGAAGGGTGAAAATTTAGGGTTATTTGTATTTTTTGATGCCAAATCTTAAAAAAATAAAAATATATTTTTTCCAAATAATAAACAAAAAATTTTTGGGTGGGCCACTCTTATCATATCACTATGTAATTTGTTTTTCTTTTAATCTGTAGGTTCCGAAGTTGTGAATTATCAGTTTTACATACTACAGTTACAGAAGTTATAAAAATTCTAATTCTGGTCTATTTTATTAATTATACAAACAACCTCTTACAAAATTTGCTAAAACATTAATGTTGATTTCAGTTATCAAGTAACACAGTTAGGATTTATTTATGTATTTATTTATGGCTTTTGGAAAACTGATGACGTCATTTCATAAAATTATTTATAAATGAATTTCTGATCAAATTATTCCCGAATCTAGTATTTATGCAGAAAAATACAATCCACGGTGAAGTAAAAATTCTCAAAAAATATCTTCGATTCGTTTTAAACTAATGATCTGTTTAGATGAACATGTATTTTTGACGAATGTTTTTGTGGTAGATAACGTCTTTGGCTGTTTAACTACATGCGTTCTATTTTATGCTGTAATGCGCTCACCTGCAGATCTACTAGAGATGGCGCCAATCTGCGACAAGAAAATTAATTTGTTGGAACCAGTTGTTATAACAAGAGAAATACAGAGTCCGCAATATTCTACATTCAATCTGTTTGTAAAACCAAGCGCTTGCAGTTGGGTAGTGAAAAACGTCAACGGCCATCGTATGAGCATGAGCGGAGTTGTGACATAGTTGAGTTACCCGAGGTAAGTAAACTTTGAAATATATTGGAGATATATTGGTTTAATAAATATTGTTGAATCTAAATTATGTTATATTTTTTTTTAACTAACTTATTACTTACGCTATGAAAATAAACGAGGTGTATGTTTTATCTTCATTTAAAGTTTTCGTGTCGTTAATACTTGTATCTCTAAATTTTAACGTGGATCACGTTTTCCTTTATTACATTTTTCATTTATATTGTGATAACCTAAACTTTGCGCCTTAAACTGACACTTGAATAAGTTTCAAAAGGCCGCGAAAAATCCAAAAATTCAAAAATTTGGCCTTGGCTATGATCGTCTAACAAAATGGAACCTACGTTGTATTTGTTTTTTTACACTGCGTACGAGTTGAGAGCGCAAGAAATAAGAGACAAAATTTTTGGGAGGGGGCTATTAATCGTACACCCTCTCTAGGAGGAAAAAAGCTGTGTGCGAGAGCGACTCGCGATATGCCACCAGGTTGCCCAATGGGGGGCGAATCGCAAACTCGCTTCTCAGCTCCAAAAACCTCCTAGGGTTTATTTACCCACTTATCATAAATGAAACACAAAAAAAAAATGAAAGAAAGAGACAACCACGAGTTGACACATATACACATATGCAAAACAGAACAAACACAAAAACCCTAGACATATGTAAAATGGATGGCAGCACACGAGTCGCTATGAGTGTGGCGATCGAAGTATATCAATTTCATTCTAGAGCACAGCAAAATTACCCATAGATGGTGTTGTAGCACGAGCGAAGTTGGGGTTCCAGATTGTGGCTGTTCATCCACCACGACGGTGATGCCTATCACGAAGAAACGTGCCACGCGAGCAACCCACTCCCCTGACTTCTATTTAAGATCCGCGTCTTTTGTGTAGATGGTGCGATAAATCCCGCTAGCTCGACTAGGAACCGCAACCTCCGCTTCTGCCACATGTTTTTGTGGCATTTACCTGAATTCCATTTAAATGTTGAACAAGTGTTAAAGTTTCAAAACGAGCAAACATCTAAATTCGCCATACACTCTCGTGAAATTTGAAACAGCAAGGAATTCTTATCGGAGATTAAGATTGGACATCACCAGACAATTCATATGACGGAAGCATTAATCAACAAAATATTTAAGTTCAATTTAAATTATACGACAAAGAAAATTACTGAGGCTAAAGTTGTGAGATAGAGAAAAATTGCATGAGGTGAAAAATTGCAAATCTTAAAAAATTACATGAGGTTAATATTTGCCACGCCGAGGATTGAAACAAAGAATTTACATGATGTTAAATTATAACACAATTTATCAACGATTCAAACAAAGAATTTACATGATGTTAAATTATGCCTTGGTCTTGACTGGTTACTTAAAACAATTAGCTGTGAGAGTTTGTATCATGAACTGTCCCCAGCTTATCCCAAACATGATAAATAAACACAAAATGCATCCCTCGTCACAAGAAAAGCTTCTCGGTGATGTAATTTCCCACGTTGCGAGACAAATGTCTCGATGATGTGATGATAACTGCCTAAGGAGAAAAATTTAATTCCCCGTATCTCAGTCCACGATATTATAAACTTTACCTCCCTTTCACGGTATTTTTCCAGAGTGAGACAACGCTAGGTTAATGTAATTGCCGTAAATGAACTATTAGTAGGAATAAAGAACACTTAAATATAAGCATCCAGAAATTTTATTTATAACTGGATAAACAAGGAATGAGTCCTGACTAAGTGAATCTCATGCAATCTCTTAACAAGTGCTTTATCTAAACAATCTCATGACTGTCAAATTGTGTTAAAACCTGTTAACGATTAAAATCCTAACATGAACTGTGAATTTAGAAACAATAAAACAAATTTACACCACGCGAAATTTTAATTCAAATTTGGCCACCACAATATATTTTGTATTTTTATCAGCTCACGTTTTTAAATTAAAAAGATACTAAGATCTGAAATCGTTAAATCACCATTTGAAATAAACCAATGAAAAACTTACGAAAATAAATATGGTATTCGTTATATCTTACAGTTAATTAGCATCTTTATGTAAAGTTTAAGTGTTGGTTAATAATTCAGTCACTAATTTTTAAGATGCAGTACATTCCCTTTCGTCGCACCTATTATACTTACACTTTTTTTTAATTGATTGTTAACAATGTTAACAATTTAAAGCTAGCTTATGAAAATAATCACTGCGTAATACTTAAGTATAAACCAGTTTGTTTGTTTAAAGTTTCATTGTGTTTAATGCTGGAATTCTATTCATTTGTTTCAATTTTAGTAGTAATTTTGCGGCAAAGAAATGCTTACAGGAGGAGTGTGCGGTTGCTGCACATCTTTCTCTGCGAGAGTAGTGTTCGAGGATATATGCTCAAAGTTCAAGTCGTAAAATACCCCTTCCCGGTTCCATTCCACGGTGATTTTAATTTAATTTGTAATAACTTGCAAAGTTCTTCTTCTCAAGATGGATCAGTGTTTATAACTAAATCATGGGTACCTACCAGTAATTTATTATTATAAAATCTCGAGTGAGCAGTATTAAATGTAAATAATAACTTAAGAAAAACACCCAGCACTTTAGACATATCATAACTAAAATTAATCCTAAGCGAACTTCTGTTACGCCTTTTAAATATTTATATCGCTGCAATAATTATTTAAACGGCAAAACAAATCTAACTAACATATTAATAAACTACAGAAATGTAAAGAAAAATTAACGCAGCCGGATAAATATTGTAAAGTATAGTCCTGAAAAAGAGACTATACTTTATTATCTTTTAAGGCCGCAACAAGATTACCATAAAAGTATGAAATTCTGTCAAATAATATTTATTATTTCTGTTGTTTTCTTATCTACTTGGTGTGGACTTATTTTCAATGCCGCTTCACTTGTTTCATGATTATGTCGTTCTTGTGCAGGTATTTATTCATAAATACAAGAGTAATAAACATTATTTGACAGAAGTTCATACTTTCATGGTAATTCTATTACGGTTTTAAAAGTTAGGTCTGCCACTTTTAATTGCCAGCACTATACTATATTATTCGAAGCAGAAATTCGAAGTTTTAAGACGTAAACAAGTACCTACTAAAATGAGATTTCCTTAAATTAAAAAATGAAGCAGGAAATGATTACAGATTATGATTTAAAAACCTTTAAGTACGTTCAGTACAAATGCACTAATAGTAAAAGTTGTTAAAATTCCATTTTTAAAGGGACAAAAATATGTGAATTTTTTAAAAATTCAAACTTTTAAAAACCGTGCTAAGTGTTTAAATAGGGAAACCTGAAGAGGGACAAGTTAGGACATGGAAAAGCTATAAAAAAATAATTTATGTTTAATAATTTGATGTGGCAGCATAGTTGCGAGCATTGTTTTGACCAATAGGAAATGTGTTGCTTGCGAAAACGAGGAGATGCTCACGCATTGTCTCCCCTAGAGGTACTTACTTGGAATAAACCAATAAATTTCGTAATAAAATTAATTGTTTAAAGCTTTTTATTGTCGCTTACAATTAAGAGCACTTTTACTTTGACAAACTTTAGTTTTGCCGCAATAGTTATATCAATTTGTTCCGTTAAACAAATTATATAAGTAGTTATACTTCAAAAGTGTATAGCGTGTCTATTTGGAGACCCCCTTATCTAAAAAATGATAATATAACAAAAACAAAACGTCATTACATCTACAAGGTAAATTTTAATGTAGACCCGTTTTGTGATAAGAAGATAATAAACCAATTTTAATGTCACTATTTAGTCCAAGCTACGGTAATACATAATTCTGTCGGCATTTTACGCAACTATTTGAATTTCGTGATTTACAGCGTACTGTAAATGATTTATTATTTTCGGTGAAGTGCTTTTCCGAAAATCATAAATTTTAAAGCTCTTGAAAATTTCATAATTGTGTTTTGTTATAAAAATCACTGTTGCGACTAGAAAATTGTCAGTGTGGAAACGTATCAAAGACATAATGTGTAAGTTTTTCCATAATCTTTTCAAAAACCGGTATTAACTCACTATTTTGTAGACGGTCTGAAGCGTTTAGTGTCGACAATTTTGCTCTTGATTCACACCGAGTCGCTCTCGGCAGTATTGGACCCGGAGTGCGACTTTGCACAAGAGGTAGTGTTGGGTCAGGAATACTATATTTACAATCCAGAATATCCCAACAATCGCACGTCTCAGAAATCTTGTCGATGGGTGGGCCAAAGCCCTCCGGGAACCGTTATAGTGATAAGTTGCAATGATGTGTCCATACCAGACGTGAGTATTTTTCGGTAAACTTAATCCATAATCATCAAAAATTTAGTCAAGAGATTGCCAAAACTACAAACTGTCTTTTGCTCCCAACGGGGACCCAAATTTCTTAGACAGTGCAGACTATTGTGGCAGTACGACTTTCACATCATACACGGAAGAAAACTCCGTAGCTATTGGTAACACCGTGTCGTACTGCATATTACGCTTAAACAATTCTTCGTTCCAGGACTGTTTCCTTCTTCTGGAAGTCAGGGCAGATTTCTTTGCACCTTGGCCGCAATGCAGGTGTCTTCTTCTTGTAACTGTGGTCTAAAGCGCCAGGTGGGTGGATTTCAGAACGTGTTTTTATTTTCAAGTAGATGAGAATTGTAGGAGGTCACGAAACTGGGGTTAACGAGTTTCCTCCAATGGCAGCATTGATGGATGTTGCAAAGAACGACTCTTTCTGTGGGGCTACTATAATTTCGGAACGATACGCCCTAACGGCTTCCCACTGCCTCCTCCGCCAAACTGCTGATAATCTGGAACTGGTAGTAGGAGACCACGACTTGTCTACCGGTACAGAGCCTAACCCGTCTGTATTTTCCTCATTTTTGATTTTCAGACCAAGAGACAAATTTTTCTGACCGTATACCCATCATCGACTTCGTCCAGCATCCATTGTACAATATCAACACCCAAGAAAACGATATCGCTGTGGTCGCAACCTCCAGAAGAATTTTGTTTAATTCAGCCGTAGGTCCAGTGTGTTTGCCCTTCAAGTATAATTCCTACAACTTTCTATGGGAGATGGTTGCAGCTCTAGGTACTTGATTGGATTTCTCTGGTTGAAAATTAATGCAACTACTTTTTTTTCTTTCAAGGTTGGGGCTTCACGGACTTTTCGGGTAACAAGGCAAACACCCTTCAAGAAGCCGATCTCTATATTGTTTCTAACCAAGACTGCGATAACGCTCTTCCAGAGAATATTCAAACCACCCAGATTTGTACCTATGCAGACGGTAGAGATGCGTGCATTAGTGACTCTGGTGGTCCTCTTCTGTGGCATGATGATTACAGTGGAAAATTAGAGTTGGTTGGAATTATTTCGTTTGGTTTAGCTTGTGCTACTGACAAACCTGGAGTCAACACGAGGGTCACGGCATTTTTACCCTGGATCGTTTCAGTTACATCCGGTACGAATAAGGTTTAGGTAATGTTGGTTTTGACTGAGTTGTTTCAGATAATCTGTACTGTATCCAGTAGCGAACCATTGATATAAGATGCCCTTTAAAGTGTGTCCTGTATACTGTTGAATTGGAATAAAAATAAATCTCTAGTCTGTGTTTCTTTCTAGTTTTTTAATTACAATAAATGCTAAAAATATCAACTTCGTCTAAATTATTCAGACTGTTCCTTTGTTTCGAAAGGATATTACACACTTCGAGTGTAGCTCGGGAAGTGTTGTTAGGAGGGTCCATTGGACGAATGGTTCAATTCAAATTTTTTAATTTTTGTCGCCTTGTCTTTTTTCCCATTTTTTTTTTGCCCGATTAGCATTTTTTGTCCCATTTTTAGGTGACTTTTGCCGTTTTTCATCGTATTTTATCCCATATCATAAAAACAAAATTCGAAAAATCAAATTTTATAGTTAACTTCAGGGGCGAGAAAAGTTCACAAGACAAAGCGAGGTCGCTTTGGATAAAAAAGTACATCAGCAAGTTTGTTTTGTCACACGAAACGTCTTGATCCCACTTTCAATAAAATACAAAAATGTATCCACGAAGGCTTTATGGAAAATTCTGTAAGCAATCAAATAAACATTAGCCTCCGTCCTAGAATACCACACATTGTCACGCAAGAATTTGCAAAATTTTTTCCTAGCATTCAGTGATAACTCCCTTTATCGACGACAGTCGTATTAGAAATGCAAAAATTTTAACGTACTCGGAAAAACTATAATTAGATCAGGTAGCAGACAACGCATTCATTTGCTTTTTTGCATTGTTGGTTAACATGCGTAAGTAAATCTGTGCAAAGTTGTTTGAGTTTTAATTTTTTGATCGTAGAAGAGGATCTTGTTCTGGGAGTGACAAGTATTGTCTTGTTAAAATGGTTTGTGGTTTTTACTATTGCTATTGACCCCAATTGTGACTACTATCAAGATGTGGTACCAGGACAAGAATATTTTATCTTCAACCAAGAGTACCCAAATATGTATGGACCTTTCACGTCTTGTCGATGGAACGCCAGAAGCCCTCCTGGTACCGTTATCGTGTTAACTTGCGATGACGTACACATACCAGATGCAAGTAACCCATTCGTACTAGACCACAACAAAACATTTTCTTTCAGTCTCAGTATTGCCAAACAGACAGACTTTCCATTTCGACCACGGGAGATCAAAGTTTTAGGAATTCTAGAAGCTACTGCGGAAATAATTCCTTGACGACGATATCAGACAGAAATTTCTTGACTGTTGGTCTATTTTCAGGCAGTGCAACTCGTGGCGGTAAATTTGTTTGCTCTGTAGCAGCCATGCGAGTGGCACCCAGATGGTGTTCGTGTAGCTACCAAGAAGAAGAGGTATTTAACGACTCTGACGGAATAATAAACGGAATTGTTTTTCTTAGACAAAAATCGTCGGAGGTCAAGAGACCGGAATTAATGAGTTCCCATGGATGGCAGCAATACTCGACATCTCCACATATGAAGCGTTTTGTGGCGCGAACATCATTGGAGAGAGGTATGCTCTAACAAGTGCCCATTGTCTTCGTCGTCAAGTACCAACCAACGTTGCGTTACTGGTGGGAGACCACGCTCTGTCAACTGGTAAATTTCCACTTTTTTGAGTTTTTAGATTTAACTCCAAATTCTAGGAAGCGACACACCCGCCGCAGCCCTTTATCCAATTTCAAATTTCTTTATATACCCTAGGTACAACACAACAGACGAAAGTAACGATATCGCAGTACTTAAAACTTCGACACCAATCAGATTCAGTACCAAAGTAGGTCCTGTTTGCTTGCCATTTAGAGCCGGAAGACGCAACTTTCTAAACGAGATAGTCACAGTTTTGGGTATTTTAAAATCTTTTTTTTTGTATTAATTTTATATTGTTTTTTAGGTTGGGGTTTCAAGGATTTTTCAGGTGATAAATCCGACACCTTGCAGAAAGTTAATTTGACCGTAGTTTCAAACTCGTACTGCGCTAACACTTTGAAGCTTCACATTCATCCGACTCAGATGTGTACATATGCACCAGGAAAAGATTCCTGTGTGAGCGATTCTGGAGGGCCTCTTCTTTGGCGAAATGCTCGCTCTGGAAGGTTTCGATTGGTCGGTTTGGTCTCTTTTGGTTTGGCTTGTGCTACAATTGCACCAGCAGTCAATACGAGAGTTACCAGCTTCTTGGCCTGGATAGTTTCTGTTACCAGTGGTAGGAGGTTCGTTGAAAGTGATTTATGCAAGGATCTGTATGGTACTGTTTTTTAGATACTTTGTACTGCATTAAGTAGGACCGCGTAAACTCCAATTTAAGAAAATGAAAACTGATGCTTGTGGGTACTAATTCATTTTGGTTTTATGGTTGCATTAGAGAACAATAAACTTATGAAAACGCGTTTGTTTCATTGATTGGTTAAGTTGATAACAAGCGGCTATTGTTTTTTTTTTGCATTTCTAACGTAGACTAAGTTTTGATTCGTAATTCGAGTCTGTTGATGCTACTAAAATGTAAATAAAAACTAAGTCAAGACACGTCATCATACGTAAAACCTGTGACGTCACATTACAAAAGCGAGCTCACGTTGTATAAAAAAGTACGCAGGGATTCATCTTAAAATGGTGGATCCTGGTTTGTTACATGAGATGTCTTGTATTCATTTTCAACAAGAGGCTCATAAACTTTGAAAAATAGAATACAGACCAAAATTTAGAGGAGTTTTTACGAACATTATGGAGACTGAGGAAAATTCTACAAGCAAGCAAATCTACTTTAGATTCCGTCCTAGAGTACCATACATTGATACCCAGGGCGCGGACATCGCGGACCTTGCGAATGAGTTCTTGCATTATCAGTACATTATTTATTTAGCCTTACTAAGTAAAAAGCAATAAGCAAGGTCATTCATATTATTTACTTGCCAAACTGCATAAGCACTATAAAAAGCTAAATACCATAGGCGTGCCTTAGGTATTTCTTCATTTGTTTCGTGATATGGTGGCTTGTAGGCGATTTTGGGTCTTCTCATACTCGTAACTCTATTGGAAGGGTGGTAGTAAGCTTTAAGACAAATTTTCAGAGCTGTAGTCGTCAACGAAAATTCCTGGCCTTGATGTTTGCAGCGCAAGGCCCGCATGCTTACGGATTGCTCCGCGGTGTCCGCAAGTACCTAATGGGCAAACCAAATGCTGCGTACAAACTATACCAAGCACTAGACAAATGAAGGAGTAAGGCTGAAACACGCCTATGTTTTTATATCATTATTGAAAAAATTAAAGTGATAACGTTTGTATAAGTCACCTTGGTATAATGCGCATTACCTCGTTTAGTTCCGTTGACTTATGTGCTAAAAAATGTTGTTAATACTTGATGTGGCAACATCACTACTTTTTGGTACGTAATCTGTACGTAAAATAGGCGCATCCGGTACATGCTTCCTGGTGTATATTTAGCGGAGTATTGAAATTATCAGGCATAATACCTAAAGATTGATTTGTGGTGCCTCCTCCATGTCAACACACAAACAAAAAATTGGTCTAAAGAGTTTAGACAGTACTTCCCTCGCTGTCGGAAACTTGACGACTGCATGCCTATTGTGTTTTTTTTCTCATTACATTTTTGTAGTGGGAATTTAAAAAAAAATTGCGATGACGTCATCAACATTTTTGCAAGGACACGTATATCAGTTGGGATAGATGTAGTGTAATACTAAGAATAAAATTATTATATTCTCAAATTTTCGGGAAAATGAATTGGGTCGTTTTGAATATTGATTTGTAATAATCAATAAAATAACGAAACAATTTACTCACGTGTACATATCAGAGGCAACTGAAAATCGTGTATGTATAAACATTCTTAATTTAAGATGACAGGCGTAACAGCATACGTGAGAGTCAAACAAAGAAACTGTAAACAAAACGACAATCGGTTTTATTGCGTCGACTTCCGCTTATTATATAAAACATTGGATTTTATTTTAATTTTTGACGGTGGAATTCACAATTGGTTGATTTAAAACATGTCTATACCACATTCGCGGAACCTAGTCAGCTATGTTTCAACCGAGTTTTAACTTTAAAAAATTTTGTGTCTACCAAATTGGGTTGGTCCAATGTAATACTAATAATAAGTGTTGCCTTTAATTTGATCAATAAAATAAATTGACTTCATTAATTTTTTTGAGCCACCCTTTAAGAAAATCTAGAAAATATGAATGGAATGATAAATCACAAGTACAAACTCATCATATTTTCTGCATTTTAGATAGGATTTATTTAGCAAAATTTAAGGGTGACGTCACCAATTTTTTTAGAAGGGATGAACAAATACATTTTGAACAAAAGTTTATCATGCTTATAATAACTTTAAAATATCTCCAAGATTTCAAAGCATTCGGTTTTGTAATTCCTGATTAAATCGATCAAATAAATTCACGCATTCATTAATTTTTTTGAGTCAGCCTGTATATGCAAATCCAAAAATATGAATGGAATGATAAACCACAAGTACAGACACATCATATTTTGTACATTTTAGATAGGATTTATTCAGCAAACTTTTGGGGTGACGTCATCAATTTTTTAAGGGGGATGAGCAAATACATTTTGATAAAAAATTTACCATGCTTATAATAACTTTAAAACATCTCCAAGATTTCAAAGCATTCGGTTCTGTAAATCCTGATTAAATCAATAAAATCAATTGACGCATTCAATAATTTTTTTCAGTCACCCTATTTATGCAAATCGAAAAAATATGAACGGAGTGATAAATCACAAGTACAGACTCATCATATTTTTCACATTTTAGATAGGATTTATTCACCAAATTTTAGGGTGACGTCATCGATTTTTTTAGGGGGGAAGAGCAAATACATTTTGATAAAAAAATTACCATGCTTATGGTAACTTTAAAACATCTCCAAGATTTCAAAGCATTCGATTATGTAATTCCTGATTAAACCAATAAAATAAATTGACGCATTCATTAATTTTTTTCAGTCACCCTGTATATGCAAATCGAAAAAATTTGAATGGAATGATAAATCACAAGAGAAGACTCACCATATTTTGTACATTTTAGATAGGATTTATTCGGCAAAATTTTGTGGTGACGTCATAAATTTTTTAGGAGGGACGACCAAATACATTTTGATAAAAAATTTACCATGCTTATGATAACTTTAAAACATCTTCAAGATTTCGAAGCATTCGGTTTTGTAGTTAAAGAGTAAATCAGTAAAATAAATTTTGCGCATTCATTAATTTTTTTGAGTCACCCTGTATATGCAAATCCAAAAAATATGAATGGAGTGATATATCACAAGCACAGACGCATCATATTTTGTACATTTTAGATAGGATTTATTTGGCAAACTTTTGAGCTGACGTCATCAAGTTTTTGGAGGGGATAACCAAATATATTTTGACTAAAGATTTATGATGCTCTTTAGAGCCTTATCACATCTGCAACATTTCAAAACATTCGGGTTAGCAGATTCAAAATTAAATTGCAAAATGTTGTTTTATAATTTTGATTTTTTTTCCAAAAATCTGGACGTTTCGGGTAAAAACTGAATTCGGAGTCGTAAACTACATGTGTAGGACTATGTTATTTTATACAATTTAAGACCTATTTACTATGTACAATTTTGAAGTGACGTCATCGCATTAGTGGTGGGGATGATTAGACAAATTTTGGTTAGCGTTTTACCATCTACATGATATTCCTAATATAAGTACAAAATTTCACAACAATCGGTCCAGTACTTTCGGAGATTATCTGTCTAATAAAAATCCGGGACGGCAGACGGACAGACGGACGGACAGACGGACAGACGGACGGACAGACGGACGGACAGACAGACGGAAATGGGAGACCTATTTCTTCGTCTTCTAGGGGTCATGAAAGATCGAGAAAACGTAAAAGCAGAGAGTCGGCCGACGGACTCGATTACAATACTTCCTTTGCTTACGCTCGGGAAGTAAAATTGTACTTGTTTAGAAACAATTTAAAACAAGACACTTAAAAATAATTTACCTTAAACGGAAAAAAAGAATCCAATTTAGTTATTTAATAAAATAAAAAGTTAAAGTTATTTTTCTAAAGTAACTAAAACAATATTTTAAGAAAATTTGGTTTTTGTGTATTTAGCTTACCGCCACCTTTAGATAAACGTATAAGTATGGAAAAAGCAAATATATATTTTTTATTCTATACGTTTCCCAACAGGCCGGAGGTCCAATTACAGGGAAACAGGACATATACAACACCCAGAGGCAGGGCGGGAATCGAACCCACGACCCAAGGTATAGCAGGGGCAAGCACGATGCTAACTCACCCACCCGGGTACTAAACAAGTGCAGAAGTACCTAACGCACGTCTATGTTTTTATATTTTTATTGAGAAAAAATTGAAGTAATAATGCTTGTGCAATCGGCAATCCAAAAATGTTAGCGTATAATAATCAGAAAAATATAAATAAGCAGGTAGCAGACGACCCCTTTATTTTCTTTTTAGCATGTTGGCTAACATGCGTAACTTGACCTTTTTTTGTATTTTTATTTTTATGGCCTCAGACGTGGAACTGGCAAGTCTTGTCTTGTTAAAATGGTTTGTCGTTTTTGCTGTTGCTACTGAGCGTAACTGTATCTACTATCAAGATGTGGTACCAGAACAAACGTACTATATCTACAACAACGAGTACCCAAATTTTTATCGCCCTTCGACATCATGTCAATGGAACGTCAGAAGCCCTCCTGACACCGTTGTCGTCTTAAATTGCGAAATAGACATACCTGCTGCAAGTAAATTACACATACTAAACCACAACAAAACATTTTTTTTCAGACTCAGCATTGCCAAACAGACAGACTTTCCATTTCGACCACAGGGGATCAAGATTTTAGCAATTCTAGAAGCTACTGTGGAAATAATTCCTTCTCGACGATATCAGAGAGAAATTTCTTGACTGTTGGTCTATTTTCAGGTAATACAAGTACTGGTGGTAAATTTGTTTGCTCTGTAGAAGCCATGAGAGTGGCACCTAGATGGTGTTTCTGCAGCTACCAAGAAGAAGAGGTATTTAACGACTCTGACGGAATAATAAACAGAATTGTTTTTTCTTAGACAAAATTCGTCAAAGGTGAAGAAACCGGAGTTAATGAGTTCCCATGGATGGCAGCAATCGTCGACGTCTCCATACATAATGTATTTTGCGGAGCGAGTCTCATTTCAGTCCACTATGCTCTAACAAGTGCCTATTGTCTTCGTGGTCAGGTACCAACCAACGTTGCGTTGTTGGTGGGAGACCACGATGTTTCAACTGGTAAATTTCCATTTTTCTGACTTACTAGATTTAATTCCAAATTCTAGGAAGCGACACATCCGCCGCAGCCCTTTACCGAATTTCAGATTTCTTCCAACACCCTGGATACAACATAATGGACGAAAGTAACAATATCGCGGTACTCAAAACTTCTACACCCATTAGATTCAGCTCCAAAGTAGGTCCTGTTTGCTTACCTTTTAGGTACGGACGACGAAACTTTGTAAACGACACAGTCACAGTTTTGGGTACTTTTAATTTAATTTTTGTATCAATTTTAGTTTATTTTTTTAGGTTGGGGTTTCAAAGATTTTGCAGGTCATAAATCAGACACCTTGCACAAAGTTAATTTAACCGTGGTTTCAAACTCGTACTGTGCTCAGAATTTGGAGCAACATATTCATCCAACTCAGATGTGTACATACACACTTGGAGAAGATTCCTGTGCGACTGATTCTGGAGGGCCTCTTCTTTGGAGAAATTCTAGTTCTGGAAGATTTCAATTGGTCGGTTTGGTTTCTTCTCCTTTGACTTGTGCTACTAATGCACCAGCTGTCAATACAAGAGTTACCAGCTTCTTGTCGTGGATAGTTTCTGTCACTAATGGTAACAGATTCTTAGAAAAGTGGGCGGTGTAAAAATTGATATTGTATTGTTTTTAGATACTATATACTGCGTTAATTAGGTCCTTGTAAATTCTAATTTAAGAAAATGACAATTGGTACTTATGGGTACTACTTAATTTGGATTTTATGACTGTATTAGAGTGCAATAAACTTATGATTAACTGATGACTGGTTAACTGAGATTTACTCATATCCCTGTGAAGATGATAATGATTTATTTTCTGTAAACCTTATTTTGTATGATTCTTTGATTACAAATATTTTGAGAAAACTATGTGTTAACTCTTAAAATAGATTCGTAATCAGCAGAAAAACTGGATTAGGAACGTGCGTTTTACAAACAACTTTATTTTGTGCACCAAAAGTGTGTTTAAAGAAAATGTAATTAGTTCATTCAATGAAATAGTTATCGTGATATTTATGATTTATAATTATTTTAAATTTTTATGTTGTGTGCAATTAAAATTTTAGTGCTGATTTCTAACAAATTAGAACAAATTATGTTGTTGTACTTTATTGTATTAATGTGTTGTTAAAAATTCTTTAATTGAAAGTTGTTTGCTTTGCAAGTTTTAACAATGAAAAAATATCGAATGGAGCAACATATAACTGGATGTATTAATACTTTATTACTTTATTTTCTAGTGAGCTTTGTTGGACTAGTGAATACATGATGAGGAACGGTAAATAATATCTGGTTACTTTAATTTGTTTTAGATTTCCTCGTTTTTAATTCTGCTTTTATTTTTGTAATTTCTTAACCGAATAAAAAAATATATATATATTATTTTTGTGCAAGTTTAAATGAATTTTTAGGTGTACATGTGTGTGTTGTCCAACTAACCGTGACTAACTAAAACACCGGTTAAATTTTGCATTTTTTAAATCATTCTAACGGCTAATAATTAAGTATTTTATAAAATAAGAGAACTATTTAGGTGTTTGTGGTAAATAAGTAACAATTATTTAAACTATACTGTTTTTTTCTGGTTTATCTTATCAAATAATTTCTTTATTTAATTTAATTTAATACAATAAAAAGAATTCATATAGTTTTTACAGAAGGATTAATCTTGGATTAAACATACTACATTTGAATGAAACTAAGAGCTTAACTCTATTTTTGTTGTGTTTACAATTTCCCAAAATGAAGTACAAGTTCAGATAAACATTTTATCTTTTTCTACGAAACATTATCTCTAGGTTCGTGTAAGCTGTATTTTTTTATTGAAGTCATTGTCTTATGTGGCCGACAATTAGTTGATTATAAAAATATTTTCTTATCTAATGATTTCACCTGTTCTAAAAATCAATGACTGAAGCGATTATTGTTTAAATTATTTATATTAGATAACACTCGACTTAATTCTGATAACAACAGTTCTAGCAATAATAACTGTATCACTCGATTCTCACAAATAATAACAATAAGTTTCCGTCTTAAGGCACGCTTTCGTAAATCTTTTACTTATGCATAAATTAATAGTAATAATAATAATTAACGATAAAGATAAATGTTGATGTCAACATAAAAAAATGCATCACATTCCTACAAACATCAGCTTTTTCAATTAAGCCATCAATCGCCATCCGGAATCTAATTTGATTTTGGCGAACGAAATATGGCTTTCAAAATTATTTTTAACTCGTAAATAAGTAATAAAAGCAATCATGGAATTTTTATGGCATCTAAAATTCTGTACATTGCATTTGCCGCACCTTATGGCAGTTCGACGGTTTATGAACCGTCAAACGCGGTAGGTCGTGGCGAAACTTCTATTCGCGAATTTGTCTAAACAAATTGAATCAAAAAAACACATTTTAATAACTGTCAAATATCTCTAAAAACTAAAATGTAAGGGCTGTTATTAACACAGATTCATTTTTGAACACCTACAAGGTATACTAGGCAGGTGTTTTCTAACCAGCAGGAGTGGTGGGTTCGCTGTTCACGCGTTGATTACTTGCTTTGGTTACTGCATCGTTTTGGCAATAGTGGTACGGGGTGCTAAGTTTTTTTTTTATTTTAGACTTACGGCTTCTACTAATGGGCTTCAGCACCATTTTTAACTTCCTAATCCCGATGTCGGTAGCAATAGACCCAAACTGCGACTTCGAACAAGAAATGAAGATGGGAGTAAAATATTACGTGTATAACCTAGGCTATCCCGGGCTGTATGCGCCTTCAATTTCTTGTCGTTGGATTGGCAAGAGTCCCGAAGGCACTGTAGTCGTAGTGACGTGTGAAGACATAGATGTGCCACTTGTAAGTACTGCTTAGAATATTTTTATAATGGTTTCAAAATGCTGTTTTAGAGTCAAGCCTGTCAATTAGACCGTGTCGTCGTTTCTCTTACGGGAGATCCACAGTTCTATGATGGGATCGGTTACTGTGGGAAAATTGGCAGAAGTCATCTCTCCGAGAGCAATGCCATATCCATTGGTAGGTACACTGTGATGGTGTAAATTTATTAAATTTGATTTTCAAGTGTGTGGACGTCTTGAATATTTGTGAATAAGGTATGCTCTGTTGGATATTTTGTAGTCTAAAACAAAAAAATCATTAATTAATTAATTATGTAACCAAGGGTTGTTGTTAGCTAAAATCACTTTAGCGCCCCTTTCCCCAGAGTTGAGAGCTATTTCGAAACCTGATGAAGAACGTTTATTTGATGCACAGGGTAAAACTAGAATCTCAATTATCAGTGTTAGCTTTTTTTCCGATTAAACATCTTTGGCCTCGACCCATATAAGTTAAAAATTTTAGGTATTTTTATTTAAATAGACACGAAACTAATAGTGGAGTCTTGACTGTAACGTTTTACACACCAATAAAAAAAAAGTGTTTATGATAAAACCACGTTTTATCATAAACACCTGCCTACAGTGTTGGGGACAAATATGTTTCAAATTATCTAGATATAGATATAGATATATGGAAAATAAAATTATCTAGATACAGATTGTTTTCAATTTTTTAGAAATGTATCTAGATAATAGATGCAAAAAAACAGATACTTTTTAAAACTTTGGCCAATAAAACAACTGATAACAAGTTTTTATTTTTTAATGAATCTTTTAAAATTAATATTTCCAATGTGTTGTCGCCTAAATAATTTTTTTCCATAGGTGCAGAAGAAGTAACTATTTTGTTAAATTTAAAAAATAAGCATTCTACTGCAGTATTCATTCACATTCGATTACAAAACAAATTTGTGCTAATTAAAAAAAATTAATCACTATGTAACACGCAATTATTATTTTTTGGAAATAAATATACCTTTAAAGAAATCTTTTACAATAAAAGATTGTTTTAAATTAATTTAAATTAGCTTTTATAAGTGATTGGTCAATTGAACACCCCTTACAACCAGCGGGTCTACCGGGTTGTCCTGGTAAGCAGGTAAAATGTGTTGCCCCTACAAGCGTTTATTGTAAAATGCAATGAATTATGGTTTATGGTATTTAAAATACCGTCTTATCATTACTTAATATTAATGGACCTCAGATTTATCACCCTTCAAGAATATATAAAGATGGATCGTACTGAACGCTACAATATTGAATATGATGATATTTAAAATATGAGAGTTTCGGTGGACAGACGATTGGCTTAGTATTTAGTCACAGAAACTATTAGTGGACCTCTTATCTCTACTTTTTTCTATGGAACCACCATCACCAACATGAAATGCCAAAATTACTACTACAATAACTAAACTACCAACTGATTAAAAAAAAAACCTAAAACAAAAAAGATGTATTATCTGTATCTGTGGCACTTATTTTTTTTTACCTAAATACAGATATTCTGTGCTTACATTTGATTTTATCTGTATACAGGTAATAGTTACCGAAATATTTATCTAGATAATTTATGTGGATACAAATATCTAGGTAATGCCCAAGACTGGCTGCTATATGTGTTAATTAATTTAATCAAATTACTAATCAGTTGGAATAACGTCAACTTAAAAAAAAACAGTTTTTTTTTAATCTTGGAATGTGCGAATGATAAGCTGTTTTTTATTCATATTAGGTTCGTACAGCTGTCTGTGACTTAATTTTATGTATAATAGTATTGCATAATACATTTGTATTATGGTTATGCTTATATTATTTATATGCTTATATTATTTACTATAACAAATAAATGCTCCGAAAAATGAACTTGACAAACAATATTTAAATCCTTAAAAAAATTACACAAGCGAAACTACGTCCAGAAAAACATAGGCTTAATATTTTGGTTTTGTTTTTCAAGGCTGTTTTGAATTAACAAATTTTCATGGTAATCAACATACCTACGCAGAATATACGGAAGAAAAGCTTGAATCGAATGAAACCAATATCTCATTGTATTACGACATACTTGATTTAGTATCGTAGGATTAGTGAAAACGATTTTACTTTTATATTGTTACAAATGTTAAAATATAACTGTCACTTTTTTTCAAATAACATTTTGATAGATACGCAAATAGTAGTAGTTTTTCATTTAATCAGTAAAGAATTTTTTATAGTACGTCTAACGGAAGGAAATTTTTCGCATTTGATATTCATTATTTTTTTCTGCATACAAAAATTCTTAACCAAAATGTAACTCTATTATCATTTCTAAATTATCAAAAAAAAAGTATAAAGATATATAAACAATAATCGAACGTGAGATCCATTCAACGCAGAAGCTTCTAGTTCTGTCCACTAAATTAAAATTTTCTTATAACCTACACATCTTACACTAAAATTAACCGTCAAGTTTTTGAAAGTTTGTTTTTGAACGTTGATTTTTCAATTCAAACTTTCAAATTGGCGATAACCTAACAAGATAAAAATTTTATCAAAGACAGATCTCCAAAAATTCATGGCTATTTTTGATTGTGATTTTTATTGCTCTCTCCGTATTTTACAACAATATCAAAGTTTAGAAATAGTTTCAACAAATTATAAGCTGACAAGATTTGCAAATCAAAATTTGACATTCCGAAAATTTGATCTTCAATCACATTCAGTGTAAACAAATATCAAGGGTTATTTCAGCTCTTCGTTTAATCCAACTAATTCTTGCGTTGTTTCCCACAGTTTTTCTTGAAATTTTGAAAATTTGGCTGTATAATAATAATCATCAACAGCTCGACAATCTTCAAAGTGTCGTCCGCTATACATTTCGATATTTTTTTCAACAGAGCAGTAGATAGTGGTTTGAGCACCTTCTTCCGACGTCTAAGACCAAAGCAAAATTAACTGTACTACCAAATTAAAAAAAAAAAAACAAACCTTAGCTAACCAATTTTTAACTGGATAACACGATAACCAAAGCGCAGTCGCTTTCCCCATATGTCTGTAAATGTTGGTCTGGACAGCACCTGGATGTAGAGAGTACGTTGTAACGTTGGTGTCTTTTAATCGTCTAGCCAGTTCCTTCGTAAACAATATAATGTAGAGTTTCGTGCGGCAATACATATTGAAATTTCCCATATGTTTACATATATTTTTTAAATTAGCCCCGAAGGCAATCTTTGCCAGAAAAGACGAAACGTTAATAATTCGGCTAGAATCAGTTTTTTTCAGCAAATCTGAAATCAGATATAACACACGTGAAAAAGAGAGAGGCACTTTTATAAAATTGTACTGATCAAAGAAAGATCTATTCACCTAATAGCAGATTTGTAAGAAGGAACATCGAAAAATAGTTAACTTGCATGCTCATGTAGTAACCATCCTTTGATTTTTCTTGGCCTATGTGCATCACTCCGGCGTTATTAACTAAGATGTCCAACCTATCTTCATTTTTATTAATATCTTTAGCAAAGGATCTGACCGATGCAAACGAACTAAAATCGATTAGCTTGATGTGAATATTTGTGTTGTCGGTTTTTTCTATGATGAGTCGACGCGCTTCTGCCGCTTTAGCGTAGTTTCTGCAAGCCAAAATCACTTTGGCGCCCCTTTTGGCAAAGTCGAGAGCTGTTTCGAACCCAATACCTGAAGAAGGTTTGTTTGGCACGCAACGTAAACTTATAAAGTAAATTACCAGTGTTAGCTCCTGTAACAACGGCGGTTTTTCCGATTAAACATTTTTGGCTTCGACACCAACCGCTTGAAAGTTTCAGATATATTTTAAAAATGACTGTCGATGCAAGTGTTATAATAATTACAAACAGGAAACTCATAGCACGACTTTGAGTATAAAGCTTACACTGAAGAATAGATATAGGTTTTATACACACAAATAGCCGACAGAGGATTATTAAGTTAAAATCGGAAAAACAGGTTATTTTAATTTGCCGCAGGCGAAGACAACGCATATGCGTTTTCTTATAACTGTGCGTGACTTATCTAATCTCTATGTATTTTGTATTGCATAACACATATTTACGAAAAAAAGGATCACCTACATGGAACAAAATAATCCTCTGAAGGTTTCAGACTTAACAAAACGGGTTCAAGCCCTTATCTAATAACAGACCAACAATAATAATTTGTAGCAATGAATTGGTTCTATTGTCCGCTTCACATTTCTTCATAGAATTTTTTAAAGTCTCGAAATTTTTATTGTACTCCAGGTGCGAGGAAAGTTCTATCGAAATAACGATTCTTTTAAACGATCCTTGACTCAAACTAATTTTCTTGAACAAAATGTAGCGCCATTATTATTTTTTGAAAAATTCCTGGAGCTGTGTGTACCATATAGAAGTCTACCGTATTGAAAAAGTCCACGATAAAAATGTTGGTCGTCAACAATTTCTATGAGTTTTCTTGGACTTCCGTTTCCAGATACGCATATGAGAGACTAATGATACTAAAGAACGAACAGTTTGACGATGATGTCTTCACAACAACGGTTTTTTTCACCATGTACTTTCTTGAAGGCAACAATTGTCGCAGAAAAATTTACTAGTGTTTGGTTTCTTCTGTAACGAAACTGTTATTTTCAGGTCTCTTTTCCTCCCAATACACCATCGGCGGCAAGTTCATGTGTACCCTCACCGCCATGCACAAGACCCCCATCCCTACAACCAGCTCCAGACCCGCCACTTGCAACTGTGGTTGGAGGAAAAAGGTAAAATCAAATTCCCTTTACTACAAAAAAGGTAGTCGTATTTGCCCGTACAGGTTAAAATAGTGGGAGGAGAAGACACAGAGGTCAACGAGTTCCCCTCGATGGCCGCCCTTGTAGACAAGTTCACTTACGACGCCTTCTGTGGAGCCTCCATAATTTCGGAAATGTACTCGCTAACAGCCGCCCATTGTCTGCTTCGCAAAAAACCCAGCGACTTGGGGTTGTTGGTCGGGGACCACATCTTGTCTACAGGTACGTTCACGTTTTGGATGGTACTGCTGGTACTAAGCGTGAGTTTTAGGTAACGACACTGACGCAGCCACTCTCTATAAAATATCGGACTTTATAATGCATCTTGAGTACGATTCTAACACGCAGGTGAACGATATTGCCATTGTGAAGACTGTGAAGCCTATCGAGTTTAGTCTCGAGGTGGGACCTGTGTGTTTGCCGTTCAGACACACTTGGATGGATTTCTTCGCCGAGACTGTAACTGCTGTGGGTAAGGTTCTGAAATAATCCAGAAAATTTTAGACCAAGAATTGTTTCAAAAATTTTGCATAAAAAACTATTTATTTGACATTTAGAAGAACACGATATTTTCTTCTAGGTTGGGGCTTCACCGACTTCTCCGGGAACAAATCCGACACCCTTCAAAAAGTCGATCTTTCCGTCGTCGCCAACAGCTACTGCGCCAGTGAATTACCGGACCCAGTGACTGACCAGCAAATCTGCACGTACGCCCCTGATAAAGATGCTTGTTTGAGTGATTCTGGAGGACCTCTTTTTTGGGAGGACGAAGAGGCTAGGAAACTGAATCTTGTGGGAATCATCTCGTACGGAATTGGATGTGCAACCGACAAACCTTCTGTTAACACTAGAGTTACTGCTTACTTGCCTTGGATACTTTCGGAAACCACGGGTAATGCTTGGTTGAAATTAGCTGCATCTGATTATTTTGAATGCGTTTTTTTGCAGATGCTGTTTATTGCATTAAATAGGAAGAAGTGATTGACTTAAGGGGATTGTTTTATGTGAAAATAAATTGCTTTGCTTAAGTCTTTGTTTTATTTTAAGACATATGGTCTGATACTTTTCTTGAAACCTCCGAGAAGATTGGAGTACAGTTAACAGTTTCTCGAAGACGAGTCAATGGATCTGTATATCAATTAATAGAACTACAGAATCAAATTTCACATTGTTGTTGTGGTGACCGAATTTGAATCAAAATTTTCGAGCTGAAATTAATTAACAGCGGCGCGAAATCACATTTGAATAATTTGAATTTGAGAAAGAAAAAAAATCATCAAAAAAAATCGTTTAACATAGGCAACCAGGTGCACGGTAACGCTTGCTGGATAGTTGGACAATTAGTAGCGCTAGGGATTTTAGTTAGAGGGTTGGTGGTTAGACAGAGGGCGGTATGGTGGAGCGTCAGTCTGAATGTGTTTTTGTGAATGTAAACACGTGGTAAGAGCTAGTTTAAATTAGTTGGTTTGGTAGTTAATAAAAGGGAGGAGGCCTTTGTTTAACGACAATCAATCGTAATTTCTACGAGGACACAGTTTTTCCCAAACCGCGCGGCTAATTCTTGCGGCTTTTAATCAAAAACATGCTATCTTTCAACCCGGAACATGTGCTGTAAATTTGTTTTATTGTTTGTAAATTCACCAATCAAGTTAGTTTTTCTTAATCGTCAGCTAGTGTTAACACAATTTAACAATCAGGATTATGTCGCCTTCGCTCGCAGCTTCTTTCCTCCTAGAGAGGGGGCGAATTTTTTTTGCCTCTCCTAAAAAAAATGTGTCTATTATTTCTTGCGCTCTCTACTCGCACGCAGTGTATGCTCACTTGTATGAAAGAACGTCCTCCCGCCACTTTTCAAAAAAAAAACACACAACGTAGGTTTCCATCTTGTTAGACGATCACAGCCAAGGCTAAATTTTGAATTTTTGAATTTTTCGCGGGCCTTTCAAACCTTTTCAAGGTCAATTTAAAGGCGGGAAGTTTGGGTTATCAGTATCACATTGTCGAGAATGAATGAAGAAATCTTTTGTGTTTAGAAAGTAACGGTGAATATTTTTAACACCTTTTTTGGTGACGTTTTTTAATATATTTTTTCAATATGAGGAAAAATTGTTTGACGTCAAGTTAATTAAACACTGTTGTCAATTTTCTGTATAATGTCTCACAGTTTATGCAACCAGTTCCAAATTAGCGACCACAAATGAGACAGTTCATTGCGTCCATTTGGATGCAATTAATGATCTCATGAATTGTATAATGACATTTGTGTCATTAAAAACTTCTTATTAACACTCAAATGCTTACTGCTAAATAGTTGGCACTGACAATGTCATAGATTCTAGAGAAAGAAATTAATTTACATTCGGTGCAATTTTATTTTCATCGCAAGTGCAATAAAATTAACACTGGAATCCAAAGGTCTTTTTAATATTCACTTAGTTATTGTGATAAATTTGACTACAAATCGGCCTACATATTTTCTACCCCCTTTAAATCAGATATACACTAACTATGAAGTATGTTCCACCTACTACATATCAAATAAGTATATCTAAAATCAGAAAACTGAACTACGTATAGAAACCAGACTGTCACCTTTGACCTTCTACTAACCGAAAATGTAAAACTGCTTTCCTTCCTTGCTTAAAAAAAATATATAACTTTTTGTAGACCGCTCAAGCGTCGTTGAATAAACAGCGTCAAAATAAATAATTAAATTTTCGATATGTCGAGACGCCCTCACCCTGGTTAAAGTTTAAGCGAAGGTTGCTGCAGTTATACGCAGGTTTCAGTTCGGGCTGAAACCGATCAATAAGTTAGACGGTAGTGTTGGATACAGAGGGCAGCTTTTTCAGCTTTTATGGATGGGTTGATAAAAAAGGTACACGTTGCGGGAAGATAAATCTGTTTATTGGAAATTTTATTGGGGGTTCTCGCTTTTATTATTTGTGAATAATTTTATTTAGAATTTTAAAAGAGGAACTGTTTATTTATCTTCGCATAATTGTTATTGTTATAGTTGTGTCTAGCGCAATGTACCGGTCCGTGCCGGTTCGTTTACCGGTTTATGCTTTCAGCGAAAAGTTTGCCTTGACTAAAAAAGAAGCATCGCTATTATTATCATTGCAAATGAGCAAACGAATTTACCGATTTTTATTATTCTGTGTGATAGCGTGGCGGTTTTTAACAGCTGGTAACAATTTCTACACGTTCGGCACTGTCTTTCTAAAAACTTTAATCTTGAATTTATCAATCAGAGACGAGTGCCCTATCAATGTTAGACGTGTGCTTAACGTGTTGTGAAACCAGATTTATGTTACCTTATTTGCTGCTTGCCCGATTTGACTTTTTGGGTAGTTTGTGGAACCACTAATTTTTACCTGCTGTAAGGCAGGTAAGATTGTTTTTGTGACAATATGGTGATCATTAATGGAATTGTTTTTACTACTATATAAATTGTTAATTATCATAATATGTTTGTAACAACGTAGATTGGCGATTTATTATGCGATCAAGGTTAGCCTTCTTGTGACAATGCGTTCTATTTGATGCCTTGGAAATCGTCTCATTAGTAGAGAAAATGCAGTCGGCCTACATAGATGTCACATTAACGTTCTTTTTTATCACTGTTCCAGTTTTGCTTCTTTTCAAACTTTATCTTAAATGTTCGATTGGTTGGTGCAAAAGTCAAAGAACTCTGGTCGGCAGAACTGCAATTATTACGGGAGCTAACACAGGTAATTTCCTAGATTTTCCTCCGCACTCAACAAGTCAAAAATTCTTTAAGGTATTGGTCTTGAAACAGCTATCGATTTTGCAAAAAGAGGTGCCAAGGTTATCTTGGCCTGTCGAAATTTCAGTAAAGCTGCGGAAGCCCGCCGTCTAATAATCGAAAAAACGGACAACCCGAACATCCATATTAAGCTTGTGGATCTGAGTTCTTTCGAGTCCGTTCGAGCGTTCGCCAGAAGCGTCAACGAAAGCGAAGAGAGGTTGGATATTTTGGTAAATAATGCCGGAGTGGCGCCTCAAAGCGAAGAAAAAACCAGAGATGGGTACCACTTGGGCATGCAAGTCAACTACTTTTCGATGTTTCTTCTTACAAATTTACTCTTAGGTAAATCTGCAGGATAAGAGATTTTCTTTTCCTCTCAGTGTCATATATCGTTTCAGGACTGATGGAAAAAACTGGATCTAGTCGAGTGGTTAATGTTTCATCTTTGATGGCAAATTTTGCTTTGAAGTTCAATTTAAACGATTTGTGTAAACATTTGGGAGATGTAGATATGTATTGTCGCACGAAACTTTGTATTATATTGTTTACGAAAGAACTAGCTAAAAGATTAACGAACACAAGCGTTACAACGTATTCGTTGCATCCAGGCGCTGTTAAGACTGATATTTATAACGACGCGTTGAAAAATGTGATCTATTGGTTCGTTTTTTATCCCATGAAGAATTGGTGTTCAAAGGTATAACAATAAGAACCAAGTTTTTCAGTCGCCTTTAACCGATTATACAGAAACTTGTGGTTGCATAGCGATAAATAACCATCGGTTTTTGTTTAACTGACGAATTTAAAAGTGTAATATTTCTATTTTTGGTATTTCTAGACGCCAGAGGAAGGTGCCCAAACTACTATTTACTGTTCTGTTGAAAAAAATATTGAACAGTTTAGTGGTCAACACTTTGAAGACTGTCACATAGTTGGTGACTATTATTCTGCAAGGAACGTGGAATTAGCAGCGAAGTTGTGGAGCATGACCGAAAAACTCGTTGGTTTAAATAATGAAAAATAATTGCGCTCTAACGATTTTTATTTGTTAGTAACGTAATGTAACACAAATAATTAACCAGTTTGTTAATATAACTGAGTTATAAAAATAAGTATATTGAGAACTATGTTTTGTACGAAGACTCGGTGTACAAGGTTCGAAAACAGCAAACAAGTATAATTATCTCATTTGTTGCCACTAGGTATTTAATTAATTGCATAAAATACATGGTATTAAGTTGAACACAAACAATTTTTTTTCATACAAGTAAAATCAGTATATTCACTTAAAGTGATATGATAAATTCTTTAGTTAAATTGATAATGAGCAATTTTTAGCTACATATAAAACAATTAAATTTTGTTGAGAAGTAGCACTACAAAAGATGTTGAAAATGTTTACCGCTATAAATTTTAAATATTTGAAAACCGAATGGACTTAGATCAGGGGAATATTCCGTCATCATTGAACACATTGACACATGTGGAACCTTTTTTAATAATTTTGTGAGATGTGTTTCATTGAATAGCAGTTCTCAGTGATAATTTTGATAGATCTATTTATGGACTTATGGTTGTTGTCTCAAATGATCAACAACATCACCTGAAGCTGAAGGCCTTGTCGCTGATTTACCTATTCTCAGACTACCAGTTCTTACAAATCAGTTTATCATATACCGAACGTGATTTTGAAAAGAAGCTTTTTGAAATTGAATTTCTGGGAATCTTGCAATGTATTCGTCTTTACAAGATTGCATTAGGAAGATCCATTCACCATTCTGGAATGTTGGGTTGTGATAATAGGACATCAGAAAAAGTGTGTCTTCCTCCAATGAGTTGTTATGGGTTCCAAATGTCATAAGTCGCATTAACATTGGATGTAGGAAACATTTATATTGTCGTATCTCTGTCTTAATTATAATTTCAGTCGGAACAAAACTGCATGAATTGTTTTCAAGTTGGAGTTCTTCGAATTTAAAATGTTTTTCAGAGCATTTATTCACATTTTAGGGTAATTTTCACCTAGAGAACTGCTTGTAAAACGACTCATTTTCAAGTTTATGGAAAGGTAACAAGTCTGTTTATACCTTAACTTAGTCAACAAGTTGAAAACACCGTTCTCTTGGGACTACAAAACCGCAGGGTTTACCGGGACACGCTTCCTACATCTCATTTACTACTGGTTATTAAAGTATAGCTTGAAATAACATTATAATTTGTTGATTGTGGTTTTTAAATAACAGGCAGTTATTTTACTCTCAAAGTCATTTTGGAACCGTCGTCTTAATTTCGTTTTATAATAATTTCCTCAAACTAAGGGGCAATAAATTACTATTCAGCTCTTAGAATTAAAACCATGACGTACCTTAATTCTAACGCGTCTGAATGAAACTTGAAGGGATTAGTTCATTTATCTCCTCGTCTAGCTTTGTTCCGACTGACACTACTGTACTTTGTCTCAACAGCAGCTGTAGATCAGGGGAAATTGATTTCTTTCTTTGCAAAACGTTCTAACATTATCAAACTGTCGGAATCTGCCAAGCTTTATTTCAGATATTTATTGAAGAATTCTCAACGTGTACTGAAAATAAACAAACTTGGGGAAATGAATGGAAACGCAAACAAAGCTATCGATGTATTTACATTTCGCTCGTTAAATCAAATGTCGCATCGTCGATCTCGTTTTATTGACATTGCTGTCGCTTCAAAGAACCATGGTGGCATGTCCACATATATCATTCGTGTTCTTGTACTTATCAGTACTGGTTATACTCCACCAGAGTAAAAATATTTATTGTGGATAAAAATCAGAAAATCTAATAATTATTAGTGGCAATACTGTTGTTACTTCAAGAAAAAACGATCTTTAAACATATTTTTATCCTGATAATTTTCCCGCTTATGTTTTTTCAGAATAACTCCGAGAATGCATTCAATAATGCATCTTATGTATGCATACCTGAAATAAGTAATCAACGGAAAAACATGTTGTCTCACCGTCTCAGAACATGCGTAACTTCGACTGATTATATTTTATACTTCGGAAAAATTGGACTTAGCACGTGTCGATAACAAGCACCTGCGTTAAAAGAAAATGAAAATTAATTCACTGTGTCTCTTCCAAACGGAGGAGATAACTGATTTAATATAAGCTGCAATGGAGCAAAACGGACTGAATTTTGGGCGGGCAGTTATTGTTATGATGATAATTATAATTTTATTATTATTATTAAAAATAGGCCGGCGCGACATTACTATATTCTTACATTTTCGGGATAATGGGGTGAACCCTTTTTGATTTGAGGAAAAAAAGCTGTGGCCCGCAGGCATAGAGCATTGAACCTCGAACTTCTCATCTGCAACTTTGGCGCACTACCACGCTGGCTGATCGATGTTCATACAATATTCTGTCTAAAACACAAGACTGGTTAAACAATAAACAAATATAGTAATAATAGTAATAAACAAATCCAAGGTACATTCATAAACCACAAGTACTGGAGTATAATATTTAATAAAATTTACACAATATAATGAGCGGACGTCATCAGATTGTATATGAGGATGATCAGCCAAATTTTGATTAGAAACCATTTTAAATTATAATAATCGTTATAATCTATTAACTGTATGAAGTACACGCAGATATTTTTGCGTTTTTGTCAGAAAATAACGGTATACGGGGAGAATTAAATGAATCCACTTTAGAAAATACCACACTTGGATGGAAAAGACTGACACGTTTCTCCCAAAGGAAACCAATAATTTTTATTTGGCAAGAGAGCACGAGTTCTTGAAAATAAATTTAGATATTTGGATCTCATTATCGTTCACTCTTGACAAAAATCCAAACGACGATCTTGTAGAGAACATATTCGAGATTTTTTAAATTTATTAATGTTATGTATGTATATATATAAATGTACTTAGTTGCCCCGTAATAACTGTTTTTTTTTGTGTTTAATTAAATGCAGTCGTTTTTGATTAATTTTCTTCAAGGAAAAGTAAACCTCTTACTAATTTCTTTAGTCACACAACCACGAAAACCAACACAAATCTAGATTATCCTGAACGATATTCTTTATTTGCACGCAAACTCCTCAAATAACGTCTAAATGATACCTTCCTTCTAATAATTGTTGATTTCTGCCTTATTAAAATAATTAATTTAGTAACATTTATAACCTTGCTTCCTAGAGTAGAAGGAAACTGAAGGCGCCCCAAAATTGTGAAAATCAAACTTTTGGTTTTCTGAAAAAACTAAAACTGTTTAGATTATCTGGGGGCGGACAAACTTTTTATTTATTATTGTTCCCTCTTCATTGGTACATCGCTCGGTGGTGAATAAGTCGTCAAAAGTATCTCCTTAGCTCATTGACGGCGCTCTTGGTTCATTTAACAAAATTTCAGCTCCATATTTCTCCACAATTAGGAATCTTATCTGAAGCTAAAATAATCGATTTCATAGTTTCTTAATTGATCCAAATTCATTTAGAATTTCGGCCACATATTTTTGACTGTGCATTCCTCCCCGTCTCACTCCTTTTCTCCTAAACTTACAAACTTCCCTCTTCATCAGCACCATCACCCCAATTCCTTCACCTCCTTCTCATCCCCCAATCCCGCAAATCCCCATCCCTTTCTAAATGCCAACTGCGAAGGCCGCACACCAAAGTTGCTAGAGATAGGTCCTAACCAACTCGAATTTTCGCAATCCGACCATTCTCGACCAGCTCTGTCCCATTCCGTCCTCCGTTGCGCCATATTGCGCCATCACGGCGCTGTACCGGCGCATCGATCGCGTGCACGTCCGGAGGCGTACTCTGACGTCACCGTGACGCCGCACCGCCGCCCCTCTCCGCGACGCGGCCGCGTGGATGCTGGGTGGGCGTCGCGACGTCGTCGAGGAATTGGGCGATTTTTGAGCTGCACGGAGGGCGCGTGGGCGACGAAGATGGAGACGAATGTGGTGAGCAGAGATTATCAATAGACGGACGTGACGTCGGTGGCGGCGCTGGAATGTTTTTGTGTCATTGATGGGTTTCGTGGGACGGGGAATTTTTGGGTTTGAGTGGTACGTTGTTACATGCTCAAAACCAGCGTTTTAAAGTAAACTGTGATTAATGGAAGAGGAAATGTATTAAAATCGCCAGAAAACAATTAAAAGCATATTATAAACTCGTAGATAGGTTTCTTCCAATCTAACCTTTTTTATTGTTGGAAAGTTCTACGTGAGTGCAGCATGACTACAATTTTTTGGAAAAATCGTTATATTTATTTTAAGTGGAAACTTATTCAACGTTCCAAATGTAAACAGTTTGCTTAAACTTGGCAATTACATTTAAAATAAATGAATACTGTTGAGGATGTTATTTTTGTCGGCGATCGATTCTATTTATGATAAGTTACTTAGTCGTCTGAAATTCTACCTACGAGCTCTATTCGTTTTTGTACAAAAGGTCTGCTAATTAATTCGCTTGCAGTTTGACTTTGGTAGGTAGCTGCACGTAGCATCAAAGGAAAATAATTAAAATGAAGCCGATGCTGCTTCGTTGTTTTGTACAAACTTAATTGAAACTGTTGGATCCAAAGTTCAATTTAAATTATACTTTTATTTAAGTGTTAATAATTAAAAAAAAGATTTGTGTTACAAGGAACCAATTAAAAACAGATATTTTAGCTAAAAGCATCAATTTTTTAAGTATTTTAAGAACACTTAAAAACTGGAACTCGACAAATACAATAAGGATCCTCAAGAATAAAAACAAGTTCGAAGTATACACAGAGGCAGATATGACAAAAAAAGGTTATACCACAAGTAAACAAAAGAAGAAGAGAATAAGGGTAACCAGGATAAAATCCGGTCAATGAAGCTAACTATGAAAAGAAAACGGATTCATAAACCACAAGAACAACAACATGTTATTGCATGAAATTTAAATAGTATTTACAGTGAAAAAATCTGAGTTGACGTCATCAAATTGTTGATGAACAAATTTTGGTTAGCATTTTATCATCTATACT